TAGAATTGCTATCTAGGACCGTGGGTTAAGGGTGGTCTGTGGTCAATATGATTAGTAGGGTCTAGCCTAGAGATTGTCGTGTTCGGCCGAGTTACATTGCTTTATTTCAGCTTCATAATATTCTTAAATTCACATTTAGTTTACAACCAAATCAGTTTCGATATAGAAATTCATTTATTGTAGTTTCACTATACAGTCCACTGATACAATTTGTTCATATTTACATCAATAAAATTATAGTTCAGTTAAAAGTGTTAGTTTTTATTATTACCAAAATATTAGCGCATCACGCGTGCCGCAGCAATTATTAATAGGTGTGAAAATAAAGAACATAAGCTAAAGTTCAACATACCTATTTTATTTACTTAAATAAATATCACTAGTGGCTTGTAAGGACATAAGTCCCTAAAAAGCTGAATAATTGACAAATTATTTTAATATTTAAACAATCTCATAAATATGTTATCAATGTGTCAGAATAGATATCCCCGTACACCATATCTTTTGTGTAAAAAACATTTTGGTGTTTTGCCTTTGTTTGCTTTTGTTGATGTTATACGGTGTTGTGAGTCATGAAAATATATTTATTATCAATAAATAATTTGAATCACTCCATAAGTTTAACTCTGATAAAGGCAGCAAACATATAATTCATTCAATTCAATTCATTCATTTATTTAGAAAAAATAAACATTACATATACTTTTTACATTAAATAATCTGAAATCAGGTCCCTGCAAAGCAAAGCTTCAGTGCAGGGACCGAGTCGCAAACATCTTCCACCATGCCCATAAACCATATACTTAAAATGTTCGTAATGACGAGAAACCTTGCGCAAAACTATCCATTATTTCATAAATTGCCCTTTAAGGTCGTAATTCTTTTCTAAAGGAAACTTTCCATTTACCTAATGTTAAAATACCTCAGCTGTACTTATTTGTTTGTATTACTTTATTCTGTTTTGTTTATTTCAGCCCAACCTAACCAATCAATAATGCTATTAAACTTATGAACTCAAACGGGGCGAAGCCCGTGGGTAACAGCTAGTTACTATAAAGAACATTTAACGTTACATCTCGTTTTCTTGTAACTTTATGGAAATTCTGCTATTTTTCCTGAGTCCTTGGGGTCAAGACCTTTAATTTAAGACCTCTCCCACGTTTCTGCGACTTACCAGACGTTTACAATTTTAGGGTAAAAATTTTGTCTTACAGAATTATATATAAGGATATTTATGACGGCAACCTTATCCTAACCTACATTAATTTTGTATTCAAAATAACGGCCTTATAGTCTAGTCAAGTGGGTTTTTAAAAGGGCTTGAAGTGGAAAGTTCATAGGTAATTGTTTTTTAAGGCTTACTTTATATTTTTGGAGGTTCTGAACACGAACCTGAAGTTGTCCAACAAAATGTCTTTCGGCAAATAGAAGAAAATTAAAAAATGTGTAAAAATCTTTAAATAGTCTAAAGAAACTAAATAAATTGTATCACAAATCTGACACATACTTTCTCCCATAAGCTTGTAAACAACCTTTATCATGGGTAAGTGGTGGGATGAGTACCTATAATAATTTTGTAGAAAAAATCCCAAAAGTTGCAATAACTTTTGAACCGTAATTGTTACAGTAAAGGAAGTTGTATTATTTTGCATTATTAAAAAAATTAATTGGACCTCTTAGTTTGGAAAAATATCTTTCATTCAAGTTAGGCTAACTTATAAGGCTTCCTAGTACCTTTCAGAGAGGTTACTTCGATGTATTCATTCAGCTTAGTGAAAACATAATAGGCCTATCTCAAAATAGATAACTATACAAATCAGAACTTGAACTCTTAGAGAGCCTTTGGATGTTATTAGACTAACGAAAAGGGTCTATGCAGATAAGATTATTTCTGGTTTTATACAGTATACAGTACATTGCCAAATATACTGGCAAATAAGAGTATATTTGAATTATATACGCAATCCTCTAAATTATAATATTGCGTACTGGATTAGTGATAAATAACGATCAGCAGTATTGAAGTAAACAAAAATCAGCTGTAAAATGGCTGCTAATGCTATTCTTATGGAACACATTACTTTAATTTACTTTACTTTTGTGTAGAAACAGTTTGTTGTTTGTTTTTGTTTGCTTTTTTTTACTTTATTTAATTTACAATCTGTTCAAGTTGAACAATAAGCAAATGATATAAATAGTAATACAAAAATAACTTGAAGAACATGAGCTAGTGATTGACCACCGTCAACACTAGCAAACAAAGAGAATTTTGATAACACTTAGCCGAATCTGAATGGTAGGTCCAATATCGTATGTCGCTTCAGTCTGTAAATGGTGTTGTGATTGTCCAATAAATTGTTTGCTTTTGATGATGTTATTTTCAATAGATTATTTGAATGACTCCATAAGTAAATCACTCTGCTAAAGGCAGCAAACATATACTTGTTTGTGAATAAATACGGTACTGTCATACTAAGGTAGATTTAGTTTCGTGATTAACTTGCATAAAAAAGGATTCCCTGATTTGAATGTTAGACATTGCCTTCGTGAAATATAAAAAGGCAAATAAAGGCAAAGAAGGTGTGTTGAGGTATGCTTAGTTCTTGGCCAAAACAGCTAAATCAAAATAATAGTTTATACTCCTTTTGTAAAAGGTTTAACAAAATTAGTGTGAAGTAAAGGTATCCCATTGGCCAAACCTAACCTGATCAATATAAAAAACTACAATAATTAGCCTAGTGTAAGATTATTAGGTGGTATTCCTCGTAAAGGTGCGATTGACTTGACACCACCAAATAAAGTTTGACACCACCATAAAATAAGTCTAATCATCAGCTGATTCCTAACTCATTTGCGATTGGACTGGTTCCATTACCCAGTTATCGAAACCAATTACGAAAATACTTTTCATCAGCATTTATGCATATTTTTGTGTTTTGGTTTGTTTAAAAAACGTAAAGAAACAGAAACTACATCTAGGTTTTACTGTTATATATGGATGCTCCATTTACTACTATACCATACTTGCTAGGCTATATTATTTTAACCTTTTTTGCTTGGAACGTAAAGACAGTACCTGTTTCAAATCTCCTCCAAACAATATTGTTTTCCGCCCATTGGAACTTGTCATAGTACTCACTTAGTTAAGAAATTTATTTCCTGATCAAACCTATTTCATCTTTATTCCCAGGTTATTTTGTAAGAGTAGCCGTTGAGGTTATTTCACTTCATACCAAATATTGATTATATACAATAAATAAAAATTATAGGCCCTATTATATACAATTATATACAAAAATTGATATACAATAAATCTCAAAATTTAAAATGTTAGTTAATTTACAAAGAAGGTGTAGAATAAATCTAGAACATGTGTTTTGAAATATAAACAAAGCAGAAGTTTTCCATCTTGAATCGTTAATTATTTAGTAAACGTGGTTATTTCATGTTAAACGTTAAAAATACACAAATTTGAAAAGTTTCACAGTAAAATAATTTACTTCAACATTCTATAACCCTAAAAAGTCTTATATAATATAGGTACCCTTAACCCTGGTTTTATATAGTATACAGTATGTTGCAGAATTGACTAGCAAATGGAGTAATCCAGATGTAATTTTGCATACTGGCTTAAAGATAAATCACGATCAAACAAGTTTTGGAATTTCACTACCGGTATTTTTCCCGCCGTTACGGGATCGAGACCATTAATTTGAGCCCTCTCCGGTCGTTCTACAACTTCCCAGTTGCCCACAATTTTGACGCAAAGAATCGGCTTACGTCATTAATATATAGTTGTGTCATAATTTAAAAAATCCGGTACAGCAGTAAAGCAGTATAAAAAAAATTAGGCTAAGAATCATGAAACAGTCTTGTTCCCCATCCATGGGGCAGGACTAAAATTGAAGTTTAAATTTTGATTTTAAAATAGCCACCTAAGTAATCATTCTCTAATTGTTATGGAATATGCTCAGGTTCATTGTTAATAAGTATGTGCAATATTTGATATAATACTAAAATTTGAAGGCTTTACTTTCAATGTCCTTTATTTTATTGTTATATTTAAAAGTTATTGCTAAAAAGTAATATTTGTAATTGTAATTTATAACATTATAGATTCCGTGCTTGCAATACAGGTAGTAATAACGTTTAGTTTTTGAAATCCGAATAGAATTAATAATAAATAAAAAAAAAACAGTATTTTCTACCACTTGTAGCTACGGGCCACCAGTTCTGGTTACGATAGTAATAATTCCCTGTGTTGGGAGGGAAACGCCACCGAGCGTCCTTACTCGATATAATGGGGGCGAAAAGCGACGAATTACCCACCCAGCCGTGGCGCGGGGATTTCTGAAGCGTCCGTCCGGGTGAAACACCATTTTGAGGGTGTCCGCGTCAAACACGTCCGGGCTAAACACGGAGCCGAAGATATGCTACACAAGGACAAGGTACAGAAATAATTCGTACGGTGATTGAGCGGAGCGAGCGTCCCAAGCGAAGCTCTTATACAGCACACTCAATAATCAAAATAATCAAATACAACAACAAAAATATAAATCTAGTTTTCTACGCAGTCATCAACAGGTTCTTCTTTTTCAGTGGCCGTGGCCAGTTTTTTCCATTGCAATAAGTAAGTGATCAGTCAGGCTCAGCTCAGGCTGTAAACGCTTGTCTTATTCACACATCTTACATCTTACCCACTTAGGCAACAATAAAATCTAGTTTTTTAAAGTTCAACGTTTTATTATAACATCTTCACCTTCAAATGCGTATCTTAATGCGTATTCGTGGTGGATTAGTGTGAAATGTATACTTCTATACGTATAATTTAACCTACCCCTACCATCTATGATCAATGTATATTTACATTCTTGCTTTTCCTCAGAATCTGTAAATATTACACAGCTGATAGCAAACTACAGGATACAACCTAACCCTAACCTAAGTCCTAAACCTACTAGTAACAGAGTAGTATTAGTACTGTATTGTATTCCCCTTCCCCATCCAAATTGTCAATAATTAATTCAATTGTCAAAATAATCTGCTTAAACTTGAAAGTGCTTGTTAGTTGTTAGAAAAGTCAACGGATTGAGTATTATTTGTTTGTTTGGGTTTATTTATGACAACAGTAAAAAAATATGGATTTGTCAATTTCTGCCAGTTTTGAGTAGCCTAGCTTAGATTCTTCAATTTGTCTAAACTTTATATTAGTCCAAGCATAGTCCAAGGTAGGTCTCATTTCCAGCAATTCAAAAACAAAAAGTTAAATTAGGGTTAGTTTATTTTGAATATTTGATTTCGGATAGGCTAGGCCTATCCTATTGAAGGTTACCTAACCAACCAAACGATATATCGATCGATATTTTCATTCTGTTGTTTGTGCCAACAGATATGGAAGTGTACCCCTTTAAATGTCCTAAATAATAGAAAAAACACATTACTTAAAAGTAAATATAACAAAAATGCACTTTTTTGTGCAAAAATTTTTAGCACTTTTTGCTATTTTAAGGCGCTTTTGCCCCCAAAGTGCTGAATGTAGCTAAAAAGTTTTCAAAAATAGGCCAAATAAGTTAATGAGAAGAAACATTAGGCTAAACATTTTTTTTTCAAAATTCGTTAGAAGCCCCTAAAGTAAACAAATACCACATAGGTACCACTAAGTTAGGCCTAATTCTATTTCAATAGGAAATAAATGTGATATTTTTAAGGAGATATTTTAGTGTAAATCCAATCAGGCAAATGGCAATTTGCCTATTCTACAGGTTTGCTGCGGCTGGGGGTATTTATGGATTTACAGTTAAGCTAAAGCTACATTTTCAGAAAATGGAAGACGAAGCAGTTGTTAACAACCCGACCAATACGCTGCAATCCAAGCAATCTACATGCTCAGACATAACTGAAATCTCTTCAATGACCGAAGATGAAACCAATCACTTTCAAACTGTTGTTTCTTTCATCAAGAGGGATTTAGTGGCTGCAGACTTGAAATGGAGCTTATTTGTAGCCGCCAGTCAGAGTTACAAGCATGACTCCTGCCTACGACCGTATCCACCGATGTTTGTCAAAGATGGAAACAAAGATTTTGGTGGTTTGGTAAGTTTCTTAATTCCATTTTTAACTACTGTCGATTAGGCCTACATTTTTTCAACAGGCCTAGTTGAAGACTGTTTTTACACCTCAAAAAGACTGTTTTTTAGAATAATCCACCCAGAAGACAGAATTATTATTAACTTATCTCGACCATTTGAAGTCTTGGCCAAGTCCCGCTCCCACACTTCAAACGGCATCGAACATGACAAGCACTTTCTTATATTATATTTTCCTCTGTGGTTGTTGCCTGAGTTGTTGTAGGTAAGTGTAAGATTTTTGAGTCACCCTATGCATTTTTCCTTGTGTGGCATCTTCAGGGATCTTCTTAATTTATCTCCTTACCACTAACACTAGTGTATTACTGTACCCTATTAAAAAAGATATTTGACACACACACGGTCACTAGTATTGCGGTCAAGCCATTTATCAATTATCAATTAATTGAGATAGGGATGTCACCTAGAGCTTAAAAATTTGGAACCGCGTCTCGTTGTACCGCCGTCTTGTTGTCCGTACGTCTGTTGTACCTCGGACCTAGGGACAACCAGTGGTAGGTAAAACTAGACGGGGGCCTACCCAACAAGTTGTACCTTGCAGATTTTTAAGAGGTACAACTAGTAGTGACAACTAGACGTAGGTACAACTAGACATGTATGCCACCGTCAAGTTGTATCGCCCAGCTAATATGGATGGGTCTAGTTGTACCTATGTCTAGTTGTACCTACGTCTACTTGTGCCTTGTAGTCTATGTCTAGTTGTATCTCCCCTTCGATTTATCACCTTTTTAAATGGTTACTGAATGAGTAGGCCTACATAGTTTTAATGATATACCCTTATTTAAATCAGAAACTTCGTGTTCCGTTCAATTGGGAAGCTTTGAAAAATTATTTGGTATTTATTCAACTTATTATTTTTTTTTCAACTTAGAATCGGTGATTAAAATGTTATTTAGGATACTAAACATTATCATGCAATTTCATACATTTGTTACAACCATCTTTACATTTGTAGTGCAAGTTTACTTTGTTCAACTATCTTACCTACCGTACAAGTTTTGTTGTAGGAAATCAAGTCATAAAACAAATATTAGTATAATATTTTTCCGGATAACTATCGTTGAATGTTTTTGTTTTAAGTTGTTAAATTAATCGAGCTCTGCGAATTGTTTACTGGAATCTGCCCTGTAAAATACAATAAGAAAATTGAATCAAATAAATAAAATCAAAAGCAACTTATCATAAAAAAAAACAATAATTACAGCATTGCATAATTTGTGGAAATGAATAGGGGTACATAGGCGAAGCCTGTGCGTGGGGAACGAGTTGACATCAGTCATTAATTAATTGGCATAGTCTTATAACCTAATTAGGACCTACCTCTATAATATTATAATTATTATATGCACTTTCTTAGAAGAAAAAAAACGTCCAATTATCCTTTGAATGATTCATGGAAAACTGTGAGATCACGGAAATTGGAAAAAAGTTTCAACCTGGAAATAAAAACATTTATCAAAATGTAAATAATGAAATTCAGAAGAAAACTAGACTTTCTAAACCAATTATTGGAAAAGCTGCAGGAAATGAAAGCCTAAACGTAATAAAGAGAATAAATTGGCTTTTTGTGTCAAGACTAGGCCCTGAAGTTTCTGCTGAAGATGTAAATGCATTTGTTATAAACCTTTGCAATGGGAATGATGTAATTTGCGAGAAACTAGGGACTCGTTACCCAACGTACTCGTCCTTCAAGATAGGAATACCAAGTGAATAGGTACTCAGAAATCTTGGCAAAATCTGAAGTTTGGCCTGAAGGTATTTTGGTTAACAAATACTTACAAAAAAGGTCAGTGGCTTCCATTGATAGTCAAAAAAACTAGTGAGGCCTAGGCCTAGGCTAATGATCAAATCTAGGCAAGTAGGCCTACTTAGCATAGGTTTTGTTAATGTAAGATCTATTTTTAAGAAAATTGATTTTATGTGTAGCTGAAACTTGGCTTACAGATGAAAAGGTTAAGTGTTTTAAAATAGAGGGGTACAGAGTTGCTGCCACCTATTGTAGGGTGAACCAAGTGGGTGGAGGAGTAATGATTTTGATAAATGACAAACCATTATTGAAGGCATCAAATATTGAATGTAAGAACTCGAGCCTTAGAGGGAAAATTTGAATGCTGTGCAACACTGATTAGTTACAACTTAGGTTTTAAATTTGTTGTCTTGACAATATATCGTCCACCTTATGAGAGTAACTTAGACAATTTTATTGAATAACTTGACGAAAAAATGAGCATGTTGAGCTGTAAATTTGACCTTCCTGTAATTATTACAGGGAATTTTAATATCAATTGTATGGAGGATAGCTATAATATGTGAGCATTGAATGATGTTTTCTGTTCTTATGAACTTTCAAATTTAATTAAACATCCAACAAGAATAACAAATGAATCTAGTAGTTTACTAGACTACATTGTGGTTGACCCCAGAATAGAAGTCAGTAATACTGAAGTTAGACCTACATTTTTGTCCGACCATTGTTTTTTAATGATGTCTTTTAAAGTTAACAAAAATGAAACTATAAAAAAAGTATATAGTTAAAAGGAAGATAAATCAATCATCTATTGATGCTTTTTGTTTAAACCTCAACTTAAAACTTAACCAAGATTTGGACATAAACAATAAACTAATTAGTATGGGAATAAGAAATACAGCTTTAGATTGTATAATGTCTTTTCTTCAAGATCGAACTCAAGTAGTTTCTATAAAATATACAGATTCAAACCAGACATCAAAATTTGTCAAGTCAAAAATTTCTCCTTCAATAAACACAGGTGTCCCAAGGTTCGAACCTCGGGCCTATAATTTTCCTGCTTTTTATTAACGATCTGCCATGCTCAGTGACAAAGGGTAACATTTGGCTCTTTGCAGACGACATCAGTCAACTATTTACAGGAAAAATTATGAAAGAAGTAATTGATGAAGCTCAACAGGGAGTAAATGGGATTGTTTCTTTGTGCAGCTCAAATGGATTAACACTAAATCAAAGCAAAACAAATGTTCTTCAGTTTTACAATAGGAAAATTCCAAATTGTTCACCTTTACTCAAAATGAATAGAAATAGCCTCAAAATCAACCATAGTACCAAACATCTTGGAATTACAATTACAGAAAATTTGCACTGGACTAAACATATTGATAGTATGATAAAACGTTTGAAAGTTGTATTCTGCTTATTAAGAAGACTCCAAAACATAGTTGATCAAGAAGTATTACTAAAAATATACTATCGGTGCTTTCAGAGTGTAATAGCCTATGGCGTACTCTTTTGGCGAAATAGCCCTGATGCAAAGAGAGTTTTTATCCTACAGAAAAGAATAGTTAGAACAATTTGTAAGCAACATTACTTAACACCATGTGCACCTTTTTTTAAATCACTGCAAATTTTACCCTTTCCGTCTCTTTACATATTTGAAGCAGCAGTAACAGTTAAGAAATCTCCCCAATGCTTTATTCAAAATTTCAACGTCTAATACGACATTAATACGAGACAGAAGAAAAATTTACATGTACCTCAGATTAATTCAACTTTAGCAAGAAATAGCCCTCACTATCAGTGTGTAAACATTTTTAATAGACTACCAAATGAGATTAAGGAAGAACCTTCGATGGAATCCTTCAAAGAAAAATTGAAGAATATATTAACGGAATCACCATTATATAAAATTGTAGACTTTATCAATCAATCAAAATAACTTTATTCATATTGCACATTTTGTACAGAATGGAGTCAGTTATAAAAACACAATATTAAACTTAATACTACTTACAAAGAAAATTGTTATTATAAAAAAATCAAATTTCAGGAAGTTGGAAAAAATCTTCTAATTTATACAAGGGTCTGTTGGTGAGAAATAATTTCAAACGTTTTTTAAATGAATTAAAATTACTTATATTTTTTATATTGTCAGGTAAGCTATTGAAATATTTAACACCACTATAAGATGGAATTTTTTCATAAACCGATAAATTATGTCTGTTGAACGCCAATTCATTACCTTTTCTGGTTGAATATGTATGAAAAGAGTTCAATTTTGGCAATCTTTCATGGTTTGATTTAATATAAAGGGCTATTTGATAAATGTATAAGCTAAAAACAGTCATAATTCCTATTTCTTTAAACTGCTCTTTTGCGGATGTTTTTCACTTTAGTTTTAACATAATGCGAATTGCTTTTTTTTGAAGTTCCAGAATGCTATTTAGGTTAAAATTTGATGTGCCCCCATAAAGACACAACCCAAAAGAAATATGTGATTCAATTAGGGAATGATATACTATTTTTAAGGTTTTTAAACTACTAAATTTTGACATCTGTCTTAATGCATGTATGCCTGAGTTGACTTTATTACAAACGTTTTCAACATGACTGTCCCAGTTAAATTTATCATCTATATGCAATCCAAGAAATTGTATTGTTTTAACTTCATTTAGTAAAATTGTATCCATAAAAATATTAAACTCAGGTGAATTTTTGCTTGTTGAAGAAAAATTTATATAATTAGTTTTTATTGTATTCAGTAATAAATTGATTTCATTTAAATATTGGTTACATTTGGTAAGCTCAACAAAAGAAGAGACTTCCACATCAGCATTTGAATTTCTGGATATTTTTATATTGATGTCATCAGCAAATAAACAAACACGATTGGGAGATTCTATCAATGAGGGGAAGTCAGTTAAGTAAATTAAGAATAATAAGGGCCCCAATATTGATCCTTGAGGGACACCATACTTAACAATTTTCGTTGAGGAAGTGTAAGTAATTAATTGGTTATGGCTATTTATGTGATCAATTGTGACATACTGCTGCCTGCCTGTAAGATAAGATTCAAACCAACGCCAAGTTATGGCAGATCCATAACTATAAAAAGGAAAAAAACAAAAAACAAAAAAATCTGACGTCCACGGCGCAGCAGCGCTTCCAGTGGCAACACTTCAAGTATTAAGTAAGTAAGTTATTTCTAGGGAGCCAAAACAGATAGGCTTAGGCGACTAAGCATTATTAGAATTATTCTAAAATTAAAAAATGTAATTAGTAGCCAACAGGATTTATAAAATGATTAAAATAATAACATTGGGACATCAATTTCATCAAATGCTTCTCTGATCTTTCGCTTCATTTCTTCCAAGCTGTCTAACTTTGTTAGCATAAACCCGATATTTAACAAATCCCCAAACAAAAAAATCGCAAGGGTTAATGTCTGGCGATCTCAGTGGCCAAGGTATGGGCCCGTCACGACCAATCCAACGATTTGTTAACAAAATGTTACTGTTTTGTGTGTCTTCATCCCACAACAATGTAAGAAGGTACTGCTTATCAAAACAGTTGATTATAAAAACTGTTGAGTTTTCCTAACAAATAATGAAAACTAGAAGTTTCTACCTCTGTTAATACTGTTAATACTGTTCAATGAAATGGCGACCATACATAGTAGGTATTTTAAGCCAAGTGTGAATGGAGATGAGTGTAGAATGACAGGATGTGTGAGACAAAGCTAAAAATCAATCAGTTTTTATATAAACACCTGTATATGAACAAGCAAATTACAAAAGTTAACTTTTTATGCATAAGAATAGCCTAACATAGACATTTGCAATTTTTTTTATTCTTGCAATGACTAATATTTTACAAAACACTTCAATGTATCCTACTAAATTACAAGGTGATAAATCTGGGTCCCCCTACTGGCCGTAGGTATAACTTGATGTAGGTACAACTGGACGTAGGTACAACTGGACGTAGGTACAACTGGACGTAGGTACAACTAGTCTTAGGTACAACTAGACGCAGACGTAGATGTAAAACTAGACAGTGGTGTACCCGACAAGTTGTACCTGCAGATTTTTAATAGGTACAACTAGACGTAGAGACAAGTAGACGCATGCGCCACCGTTAAGTTGTATCTACAGATTTTGGACGAGGTACAACTAGACGCTTGTCGCCAAAATGCATCAGGTACAACTAGACGCCAGCACAAGTAGATGGCGACTCCTTAATTTTACCCAATGTCAGTGAAGAGTGAGTGTAGAATGAAGTAAGATAATCTTTATAGATTTTTTACTGGCTAAGATCAGCTGTTTCAGTTGCCAGGATCATTTATTTAAATGGTTGATCCGACCACGCGACGGAGTCATGGCATGAGGTGGAAAGACGATCATGACGTGAAAGACAAGTAGCTTTGGAAAGACAAGTCATGGAGGAAGAAAGACCTCCAATAATATTCATAATAATAATATTAAAATAAAATAAATATAAAATTCATATTAATAATAATATTTAAGTGTTTGCAAACCCGTATAATAAATGGTATTTAAAATTCCAGTCTTTTTTATTTTTTGTTTTTGAAGTTATGTTCAGTTAGGCTATTGTGTTAATCCTGATGCTAGGCTACTCGGTTTATATGCTAACCTTGACATGTAGCAGCTACCGTCTGTAAGAACTGGACAAGATTTGCCACTCATCCTACACTCATCTCCATTCAAATTTGGCTTAAAATACCTACCTTCATATGGTCGCCATTTCAGTTGAAAGTATTTACAGCATTAACTGGAATAGATTCTAGAATAGGAACTGAAATAGATTCAGTTTCCAGATCCAAAAACAAGGTGGTACTTGTGTTTCACAAATCAGAGGTTGGAAATATCTGTGGTACAGTAACCCTTTAAACAACATCATATGCAATTTTAATTTAACCTAATTAGACTAATTGGGAATACTACTGTTGATTCTATTGTAAAATGAATAGGCCTACCAGCATAACCTCCTCTAATACAAGGCCGTGGCGAGACAAAAGTGGCAACACCGCTGTCCCGCAACAGCTGTTGCACTAATTTATAATGAAGCGTCTGTGCAATGTTTATGTTATATTTGTTTGTTATTACCATGGCAACAGGCTGGCCGGTGCAAACCAACTCTACAGGCGTTGATACCAGCCTACTAATTCATAAAGTCAATTGTTTCAAATGTATTTTTCCAGATGAATGCTATTGAGTCTATACCTGCTTTCCATCACCTAGAATCTTCTATCTTGGCAAAACCAGCCGTTCTACTTTTGTACTGGGTGTTGTTGGAACTTAAAGAACCTTCACTGTCAACCGTGAACCAATCAGAGGTAACCAAGAAGTTTTACTTTTTAAACCTCCAAATGAATAATGCCTACCCTATGAATACTTTATTTTGGTTGGTAAACTCATAAAATTTAAAACACCTAGGGCGGAGCTTACTTCAAACAACTCTTTTAAGCCACACAGAGTACATAATTTACATGCAGATTCGGTATTATTAAATCTTATCTGGTGTTTAAAAAATAATGTTACGAAAAATGTTTGCAAATGCTAGTATTTAGTGTGAACAATCCAAAATCTTCTTGTTATTGGTTTATTTAATAGTAAAATGGGTTGAATTGTAAAATTTTTTAAAATTCGTGTTTTAGCCCCTGGGCTGTGATATAACTATAAATAGGTATCTACCTTCGTCTGCAGCTCAATTTGTGATGCAGGATTAACCTCTAGTTGGTACCCAGTTCAGAAAACGGCAATGTCAACCGGTACCGTGTGTGTGACAGGCCTTTTTGATCTTTGTATTTTTGTAAATGTAAAATGTTATTCATGTTGTGTGTTTTAACTATGACGACGCTACTTCAGCTGGATATTCCACGTCTGATGATGGCACTATAGCCTAATGCCAAAACGGCCGTAACACAAGCTACCACAAATTGAGCTGTAGACGAAGGAAAATAGGTACCAATTTTTAGTTATAATTTACGACTAATATGTTATAATGTGAACATATACTGTGATGTATCCACAGGTAGATGAAGTTTTACAATTGGTCTCGTGTGAGCTGGCGCCTCCTCGTCCTTCGTTGGTAGTTAGGTTAAGTTACGAGGGGTCAGCAAGTGAGCGAAGATGGCAGAAGGAGGAGGAACGTCATGGTTCTCTGTACGCTTTCCACGGCAGCCGAGTGGATAATTTCCACTCAATCCTCCATCATGGATTACAGCAGCATTTAACAAAGGTGGGTATAATGTGTTTACATTTAAAGCAACATAGGGTGTTAGTTGATTGAAGTCAATAATTTCTAGGGCAATTGCAATAGTTTAACTTAGAAAACAATGGCTTATGTGAAAGAGAATATATTTAGTGTCGGTCAACTTTGATGTGTGCACTATCAATAAAAGAAAATTTAAACTTACAATTTTATCTGGAACAATCAATATGGACATCACTTTTTGCTGCAGCTACGTATTGGCAGTATTTGCTAAACTGAACATTATAATTCAGGTTGCCAAAAAAACCAACCTTGGTATGAGGGTGTTCATAGAAAATCTTCATAAAGTTTTGAAAACCTTTTCTTTAATTTTGTGGTTGAACCTTAAAATAGCTAGAGCCAGTTAAAAGTTTAAACCTCTCATGAGACTTTGGATCAATAACAATTCCAGAACATCATTGTAATCTTCTGCAATCGCGGCTTGTAGCATATCATCAAAAGATTCCTACCCAAAAAAGCCGAAATAATTAAAACCTTGCAAAAAAATTGGGAGAAAATGTTGACAATTTTTGGGTGCACAGATGGTTTAATATTTATGAATAAGTAGGCTCATATCATAAATAAATCATATATTATGTGGTGATTATATATTATTATATTACCGTATATATTATGTGACTTATATTATACTAGCAACAGAGCCCGTTGTGGTTAAATACAACGGTTTCTAGTAAAATAATAAATGGTTGTGAAATCCATACACAACATTACTCACTAATATTAATGGTACAGATTAAGCATATAACATTAGAATCGCATACTTATCATAAGGAACTCACTTTAAACACAAATGCAAATTGTTAACAACAACATTTAATCAAAGAAAAATCAATTAAATAACAATATAACAATAAGCTGTTAAATGATTAACACATGTTTCGTATGTTTAAATTATGCATACTGGTAAACCAATTATTGCCATCTATAAAAAGTATTGGTTTTTCTATTCCGAGTCGGGTTAAAGGTCTTCTACCCGACCGATTTTCATAATTTTGGCCTTATACTAAAGGTATGGAAGCACCACAGATTTGCCAACAATCATCGGCATTCATTTAGACGTGTATTTCGAGTTATGCACAAAGTGCGTCCCTGTACATTTCTTATGGGAGTTAATTTTTTTTTCGAGTTTGTTTGGCTCTTCTACCAGCCCGATTTTCATTTTCAATTCAACTTTGGTCATAAAATAAAGCTATGCAAGCACATATTTGTCATCAAGCATCATTATTAATTTATCTAATGTATTACTCAACAAAATTTTTTTAAATATTTTTTACTTCAATTAAAGATGTATTTTAGCAGTTCTAATTACATTACCCTTTATGTTTTGGTCTAAAAACCTTTAGTGAAATACCAGCTTCCATTTGAGCTACCGTATTGATTATTAAGATTCCGATCTTATTAATAATCCTACCTAAAGCATACTGCTGAATAACGAATCAACCATAAAATTATAATCATTCTAGTACTCATCTGCATTCAATGATACATAACTCAAATTTTATTTTAAGTTATTTTATAGGTCTTGGTCTTTAAATACTTCAAAGGCCTTCACTTGAGATATTGATAGTTTTAATCAGTTAAGTTAAGGATATACTGTTTCGCTCAATCAGAAAACATAAATTTTATTATATCATGGAAATGGAATTTAGTTTTATATATATTTACTGAATTCTAATTACGTTATTCTATTTTTTTACCTAAGAACCTTCAGTGAAATACCAGCTTCCATTTGAATTATTGATTAATGATTATTAAGATCTGATGTACCTAAAGCACACTGCTAAATCACAAACATGAAACAACCCTCATTTGAAAAAAAATTGAGTTATTTATCATCGATTTATAGTCAAATGATCTTGCTTGCAACCTCAACAGCAACTGTCAGACTTTGACGGGTTTCACCTAGTAAATCTTTAAAAAATCAAACTTCATAATAATTTGCAAATCTACACGAATTAGGCTTTCCAATGACCTATTAATTAATAAAATCGGTTCAGTAGAACTGTAGATTTAATTGTACAAAGTTTAACGACAAAATCTTTAGTTCAGTATTTTCTCACCATTATAAATTTGGAGGTTACTTAACGTTTTTGCAAATAACTTTGAAATGGTGAGGAAATCGACCAAAGTGGAAGGTGATATTCTGATAGAGAATACAATTTCCTACAAATTACTATTAAGTATTTCGGGAAAATACTCAATAAAGGCAGCCTAAAGTTGGCTACAAAATATAAACTTGGAAATATTAACTTGAAAAAAAAGGCGTTTTAAATGTAATATTGTTTATTTTTATTGTTTTAACTCAAATATGTAATAAAATCAAACTTTCATAATTATTTGCAAATCTACACGAATTAGGCTTTCCAACGACCCATTAAGTAACAAAATCGGTCCGGTAGAAGTCTAGATTTAGTTGTACAAAGTTTAACAAAAATATATCTAATTCATTATTTTCTAGCCACTATAAATTTGGAGATCACTTAGATTATTGCCAATAACTTTTAAATGGAGGGGAAATCGACCAAAGTGGATGTTATATTCTGAAAGAGAATAAAATTTACTACAAATAACTACTATGCATTTCTTGAAAATGCTTAAAAAAGGCAGCCAAAGCTGGCTACAAATAGAAACTTGAAAACAGAAACTTGAAAACACAGTTTTTAATGTATTTTTGTTATTTTTACTTTTTTACCACAAATATTTAATAAAATCACACTTTCATAATTATTTGCAAATCTACATGAGTTGGGCTTTCCAATGACCCATTAGTTAACAAAATCGGTCCAGTAGAAGTCTAGATTTAGTTGAACAAAGTTTAACAAAAATATCCCTAACTCAGTATTTTCTCATTACTATAAATTCGGAGTTTGCTTAGCTTTTTTTTGCAAATAACTTTTAAATAGTGAGGAAATCGACTGAAGTGGAAGGTGATATTCTGAAAGAGAATAAAATTTCCTACCAATTGATACCATACACCTCATGGAAACACTCAAAAAAGGCAGCCAAGAGTCTCACCCAAATAAAAAGTGGGAAAAACACCGTTTTCAATGTATTTCTTATGGAAAACATGTTTTTTTTATTTTTCACCATAAATCATAACAAAAACAAACTTTCATAATTATTTGCAAATCTACACGAATTAAGCTTTCCAACGACCCATTAATTAATAAAATCGGTCCAGTAGAACTCTAGATTTAGTTGTACAAAGATTTTTAAAACTGAATTATATATAGAATTATAGAATAGATAAGTCTATCTGCCCTGATCCAGATAGATTGCAATGACTCGTGGAACTTCCAGTACCAAAGGGTCAGACTGCATTGAAGCGAGTTTTGGGATTTTTTGCCCATTATTCGATACTAGCTGTTACCCTCGGGCTTCACTCCGTTTGACATCATAAGTATTAATAAAACTATTGATTGGTTAAGTTAACACGTTGACGCCGACTTTACATACGCTCCCCAGTGGCGGGCGAAGCCCCAGCACGCAACCGAATCAGCGAACGCAATTGGCATTCATATATTTCAGTCTGACGAATCACAAAAGAGCAGTGGTAACTGTGCTGCGTTACCCCGAGAGTGGATGTAGTTCACTGAAACACCCAAACGTGTAGCAGCACTGCACGGATCCGTATCCAGTGTCTTTGTAATGTGGGTTGAAGAGAAAAAATCCCCGAAACCGGGACAAAAGCATTGCCAGACAGGATTTTAGGGAAATTTTAGTACCAACCTACACCAAAGTAAAGCTCGCATTCTAAGCTGGCAGGCTGGCAACGATTATAACGTCTCAGTCTGAGGCTAAGCTCACACTGACTCAATATATTTCTGTTGGTCTGGTGCCGACTTGTCAGCGCGCGCCACCTGGGAGCGCTGGCGACGCCGACTAAAGTCGGCACGCGCAGTCAACGTACAAATAAACCTAAAATAAACAAAGTAACCTGAAATAAACAAAATACAGTAAAAGAAACAAATAATCACACCTGATTTTAATCTATATTAGAGTATAGGATATATATATAAAATACAATGTATGTTTGTTTGTTTGTTTGTCCTTTATGGACTCCGAAACCGCTCGACAGATAGTAATGAAACTTTCAGGCATTATTAAGCATTATTCAAGGATGGTTTGTGTGAAGTTTGGTGCAGATCCGTCAAAGGGCTGGGTCATTCCATGCCCATTCATCCAGGTCATGTCACCCATGGTCTCAGATTTGGCTGAATTTTTTTTTATTTGTTCATTTGACCATTTTAATAAGATATACCAAGTTTTATAAAATTATCTTGAATAGTTTTTGAGTTATGAATTTTTGAAATTTTGCAAAATACGCTTATAACAGCGCTTCCGAGGCGAAAAGGTTCGGTGACGTTCTTATATAAAAAAATCCATAACTTCTACAATATTTAACATAAAGCAATAGTTTTTTCACCAAAATGTTCAGAGAAATCAGAGGATTATAGAAAAAATACATTTGGTTGGTTATTTCTTCACATTTATATGTAATGTATTGCTAAATTTAAATTTTGAGTTATTTTTTAATTTACAAACAAAAAATCTTTAAAAGCGATTATTGACCAAAGGCATAGCAGTAACCAAAGCAATTTTTTTTTTAATTAACCCTAAAGATATAAACTAAAGTAATCTGGAATAAAATTAATGGTTTTTTACCAGCTAATGTTTTTTTTTATTCATATAAGTTACAATATGGGTTATGGCGAAGAAATCCTATGAAATCGATAACTTGACTTTGCTATCCAAGTTTAAAACCTCTAATATTCATCCAATTGCAAACAACATCTTTTAATTAAATTAATGACTTGTCAATAGTCAATACTTAAAATTTGTGCACTAACCCTTAGATATTAAATGTGAAAACATGTGTTTTAACTGTAACCGGTACCGTATACTAGGCTGTACATAAAATTAAAGCTGCAGTAAATGATAGGCTATACCAATTATGTACTTACAAA